GAGACAAGATAACAGTTTTCCTCCAATCATAAATCTTTTGTACCTGACTTCAGCTGTTGCTGGGGTGAGGGATTACAGAGCCAAGATAACAGTTTCCTCCACTCTCCCTAGCAACAGCTGACGTCAGGTACAAAAGATTTATGATTGGAGGAAAACTTATCTGGTCTCTGCAATCCAAAGTTTCATTCGTGAGGCTACGGTGGTTTGCAGTGGTATCGGCACTTTTGGCAGTTTCGCAATCGCGGTTCTCCTCTCGGCCCCCGTGTATAAGATGCCCCTCTATTTTTAGGTAAACATTTTTATGAAAAAGTAGCGTCTTATACACGGAAAAATACGGTATATGTTTATATGCTGATTACGGGACTGCCTGATTGATACTTTATACACTACAGGTACTCCTATGAAAGCTATGCCCGGCACCTATTGTTGCGTGGTGTCCTGTTCCTATGTTTTCAAGGTTAATATGACTACATGCATACATGGGGTAATTTTACCTACGATCCGTGTGCCCGGGGGAATATCTCCTGGCCACATGCAGTTTTCTTACTGTCTTGTTATTCTTGCTCTTACCTATCCCCACATAGGTCTATCCTGTTCGCTATTGAGCGGGTTCTACATTAGAATTTTAGATTACCTGACTATTTGTTATCTCTCGTGGTCCTTTACTGCATCTGACACCCTTCTGTTTCTTCCCTTCCACCTTTTCTCCTCATTTCTCTTTGCCTTCCTCCGTACCCACTTGCCTAATTCAGGGCTCCGGCCGGACCCCACGATCCTTACCTGCTGTCATAGGGCCTCTTGTGGTGACATCTCTTAACATCCCAGAGAAGCGGTCCAGACTGCTCTCTGACCTCAGGAGATCACGCTCCCAGGTGGTATTTATTCATGAAACCCACTTCCATAGTGCTAAAATGCCCAAACTCATCAACAGGAACTTCCCGTGGTCATATCACTGCCCCATCCCCTTTCCAAATCCAAGGGGGTGAGCATACTATTGTCCCAGGATGTCCCCTGGACTTTTGGGAGCCAGTTGTTGGACTTTACCGGGAGATTTATCCTCCTTAAGGGGAAATTGGGTGATACTCAGGTTACATTTGCCAATGTTTACTTTCCGAACACTGACCACTTGGGGTTCATGCAGGCTCAGGTACCTCGACTTTTGGAGTTTATGGCGTGGGTCTTGATTCTGGGGGGGACAAGGCTGACCTGGATACTGAACTGTGAGCCTTTTTTGCCACCACTGCCCCCTCCTCGGCTCCTCCATTCATGATATGGGAGTCTCATAAATGTGTTGCGAGGGGAATACTCATCAAACATGGCGCGCGGAAAAAAAAAAAAAAAACACCTCTAGGATCTCGTTTCTATTGCATCGCCTCCGTGTATTGGAGAGTCTGCACAAGAGATCCCAGGTTGTGGGAGCGGGGGCAGAACTGTCTGGACTGAGCGGAACCTTCTATTCTTTCAGAGGGTCAAGGGCAGATTGCTTAAGGGTCGTAGGACTTTTTATGAACACTCGGGACAAACCGGGGAGGCTGCTGGCCAACGCTCAGAGGATCCCCGGGACGGTCACATATTTCCCATGTGGTCACCTCTTCTGGCCGCAGGGTGGCGGTGTCTGCGGATATTGCGGCTAAATTTAAATCGTACTATGAGTGCCTGTACAATCTGGGGTCTTCTCCCTCTCTACTTCAGGGGCAGTTGCCAGTGGACTCCATAGAGCAATATCTCAGGGCATCCGGGATGTCGTCCCTTACGGCCGAGAGGGATAGCATGGAAACTCCGATCCAGCCAGAAGAATTGAAGTGGGCACTGAAGTCTGCCCATGCGCGAAAGGCTCCACGCTCCCCTATTATAAGAATTTCTCGGACGCCTTGACTGGTCCCTTTCTGGAGGCCTACAATGACATTCTGACCGGGTCCTCCCCTCCAATGGACACTTTACATGCTTGGATCACTGTGATCCCAAAACCTGGTAAGGCCCTCACTTCCTGCAATAATTACCGTCCTATAGCACTTGTTAACGTGGGCTTGAAACTATTCGCCAAAATCATAGCCAACAGACTAATGCCTTTACTTCCCCAGCTAGTTCATCCGGACCAAGTGGGCTTCACGCCGGCCCGCGAGGCAATGGGCAATACCACCAGAACCCTTAATGTTGTTCACCAGGCCAGGACCCCCCGATAATACTGCTCCCTACGGATGCCAAAAAGGCATTCGATAGGGTGAGCTGGGACTTTATGGCTGGGGTTCTCCGACACGTTGGCCTGGGGAAGAACATGTTGGCATGGATCATGGCATTATACTCTGACCCGTCGGCTACGGTTCACGTCAACGAAACCAGATCAAATTTTGTTTGCAAAACTTCAGGGGGCCCGAGGATTGGTTGCCAATTCCAGCCATACAGTCCCTCACAGACCCCCTCTGGATTTCTGAAGCTCCCTCTGACATTTTCTTAGGGCTGTTCCAAATGCGACTCTCCTGGACAGACCACTGACGGCTTTCGAACAGTTATGTTTGGACGGTCTCCCTACACGTCACACAGTATCCCAATTATACAAACTATTGCTGGAACCTACTGGTGCTGCACCACTGCATTTCCTGCAAAACTGGGAATCAGCTTGAGGACCTAACCGCCTCACTGAAAAATATGGAAGTCTGCTTTAACCCCTTCATGACTGAGCTAGTTTTTAGTTTCTGTTCCTAAATGACTGACACTTTTTACACTTTTGCTGTGTGATTCTTCCACAGCAGAAAGTTTTTATTATTTTTAGATTTTTTTTAATATTATAATATACAAATATATTTATATATAAACGTTTTATTTTCCTAATTTTTTTGTACACTTTTTTTTTTTTTACACTTTGTCACTTTTTTTTGTCAGTTTATATCAAGCAATCACTATGACTGCTTAATAAATTAACTTTTTAAAATTTTTAGTTATTATCAGGCTGCTCCAAGCTTAGGAACAGCTAATAATAACTTTAGAGACTGATCCTGACAGCATGTCAGAATCACATCTCACTAAAGGTCTTTGATCGTTCCTAGACGATCAAAACTGATACATTTCACTCGAGATACATTTGTATCTAGTGGTTGAAATGTATCATTTAACATCGGGCCAGGCTCTCCAGCTGTCAAAACGAATAGCAGAGAGGTGAGTCACTGCTACCTCTCTGCTATCTTCAGCTGTCAGATACGGGATCGCTATTTAGGGAACCCGTATCTGGATGTAAAGGCTTCATTCTTTCATTAATGAAAGAAAGAAGCTTTTAAAAAAGCTTAATTTCATTAATGAATGTCTCAATAGTGAGGCATTAATTCATGACTGGAACTGCTGAGAATCAGCAGTTACCAGCATTACAGAAGCTAATATAACTCGGCACGTACAGTGTACGTGGCCAGTCATATAGCCACTTTGTGACGGGACGTACACTGTACGTCTCCCGTCACGAAGGGGTTAATACCACCTGGTGGCCGTGGTTGTACTACAGAATCTCTGCAGTTATCTCCAGCTTTCTCCGGACAATACGACAGGGATTCTCTCCCCCGGACATCCTTGACAGTCCGAGGGTATACCTGCCCTTCGATCGCTCAGTAGGGTGTAACCCCAGAGAAACTTGGGACCCCTAATGGATGCGTCGGACCCGACCTCTCCTTTCTTTTCTGGTACCTTCTTTGTACTGCTTTTTCTTTGACCATGAGACACAGCTATAGCACATAGCCACGGAGCTTCATTGTACAGGGATACAGTATTGCGTTGAATTGTGGATGAACCAAATACTGTACCGAGCTGATTTACAACTGTACAGATATGACTTTCCAAGTCAGGTTATATGTATGCGATATGGTGTAGTCCGTTTTATTATGGAGTCTGTGGACTTTGTACACTTACCTCTTGCTCATTTACTGTGCATTTTGAGACTGTTTCAGTCATTAAAAAATAAATAAAAAAAAAAAGGAAAAAAAAAAAGTGTTCAGATGCCTTCGGACACACTCAAACATCTTTACTGCTTCACAAATTATCAGGCGTTACCAGGTAAATTACTTTTTTACCACCATCTCATATGCAGTAAACATAATTCTAGGTTTCACAAGATGCCCAAACTGGCATGATTAACTGACATTCCAAAATAACCAAAAAGGCAGAAACATAATTGCTCTAGAAGACCAATGAAGAATGTAGAGACTGAGCCACAGGACATTCAGAATGCGATACTTTTTTGGCCACTGAAAATATTTTCACCGAAACCTTGGAATTGTTCACGTGAAGGGACTGGTACCAATTTATTAAAGGATTCCAGAGTATAAAAAAAATAAAAAAATCGACCCAAAGCTTGTTGCATAGAATGAGGCACATTTGATAGAATGATTGAGGTTTGCTAAAAAAATCATTTTTATTTTAATTGTTAAATGTGTAGCTGCCGTTCATCCTGAATTTAACAAACCACTGACCTAAATGATCCCAGGCAGGTGGTTTCATGCAACCACAGACCTATCAGATGAAAAGGAGTCCCTGGCCAAAGATATGGGTCTGGACCGATTGTGCTTCCAATTGGTGCTCTCAGAATACCTAGGCTGGTCTAGCCTTCTCCATTCAGTCAAGAACATTCTCTAAGGGCGTTTCTCTAAACTTCCCCTAGAAAAGGGTCTATTACAGCTGCAATGAGAATTTAAATATTAAAGCAAAACTCCAGGCAGAATTTTTTAAATGAACCCTTGCAGAGGGGCAACCCCCTACTCAGCTGTTTGAATAAGTACAACTTTTTTTAAGCAGCTAGACAAAAAACAAGTGTAACCGCACTGCAAGGGTTAGGAACACTAGCCTGGAGTTCTTCTTTAAGTGGGACAGTTACGAATGAGAACACCAGTTTTCTGTAGAAAAATATAACCTACTGCAGGCATCATTACTATCCTTGCAGTTGTAGCATTAGAGTTAATGAATATGAGTTTACTTGAATGCATGTTACAAGGATCTGCAAAAAAAAGGAACCACATTACAACTTTTGCAGCACTGATCATAGTTTATTATGTAAAGCAACAGCAACATTTTCCTGGTTTATGAGCTCTCGATTTTGAACATGACCAGGCAGCAGTAAAAAGGCACTTATAATACACAGGCTGAACCATTAGAATAAAGCTCTTCTGAAATGAGCACCCTAAATAGGCAGTGATACAAAAAATGTATTTCAAAAACCACTTGACCAATACAGTTGTGTACAGGTGTGTGCAGAATAACAGTTCATATAGATGGTGCAGTACAGACAGTTCTCCAGTTACATTTTATATCTTCTAGATATACAAGTATAAAAAAATACTTGTAAAAATGTGATTCATATTAATGATTAATACATTTGGTCCTTAACTACTTTCCTTTCCCCAAAACAGCCAGTGGTTTCTGCCCTTCGCATACTAATCTTAAAGAAAGCAAGAATAAATGCATCCAGTCAGAAATGGCAATAAGCAAAACTGTAAGGCAGCAAAAGATGGAAAGACTGAGATTCAGAAGAACAGTCAAGATCAAAAAGTGATACAGTGCTTAAAGTCTACAGATCCATTCTGGCTGCCACAATAGAAAGTGCACAGACATATTGCCTAAAATTGTGAAACCGCTGTAACCACAAGCCATGATCCCATATTGACATAAATGAATCTGATGAAAGTTATGGCTTTGGTATCTTACGGAAGACATAGTTTCTTTCAGTTCAATAAAGGCTCCATTTTCCATTTTACCCCCAATGACAGAGAAAAAAAAATTCCCCTTTAACAGGCTTTGAATATTATGGCAAATTCTAAATGACTGAGCAATTCTCCTGGATAAGATAAGGACAAGATGAAATGTGCTAGGGAACTTCTTAGTCAGTAGATTTTGTATCTCCATCTGCCTTCCCATCCAAATCGTCATCAGAAGCTTCATCAACACCCTTTCTTCCAACACGTCTCGTAACAAATGGTACATCACCAACTCCACGTCTGTGCCAAGAGAGGAAAAACATGACTAAATCTAATGCAATTTAACAGAAATCCTCCAACTCATCTGCAATTAATGTTCAGTCTGTAAGATGAACAGCTTTTATACAAGGACTAAACCTCATGCGATATCCTTATCCAGCCTACGTCTTAACAGGACCATTGTAATCTAACCAGGGGTGTGGAATTCCTATCGCCCGACGCCTAGGACATGCAATTTCGGGTCCCGGGCGAATAGTTTTTTTTTTTTCCATTTAGCCCTGCTCCGGACAAGCAGAGCTTAATGTACAGCGTGGGGCCGCTGCTCGTTTTCATACAAGTGATCTAATTAGATCACTAGTATGAAAGGATCAGCGGCTATTGTGTCTGGTCACCGCCGCTGAGACCACGGCACATGAGCTCACCATAGAGCCCAAAGAACGGACATTCTTCGCCTGCTATGTGTAATCACAGAGACCGTGGCGCTTTGATCACAGCGCCACCTGTCTCAGGAACTGCACAGAACATAAGTTCTGTGTTGGAGGGCAGGTTCCATAGAGACAACCTGTCACCTCCAATCACATAGGAGTTTTTAAGCCCTATGTGATAGGAATAAAATTAAGTGGGAGAAAAAATTGTAAATTAAAAACATAAGTGATGCATTGGACATTGTGCGTTGAGTGCTGCCACCATTCCACTGTGTGCCATATTGTGGTAGCCAGGCAGCAGCACTCTCCTTCACGCACAGTGTGCATTAAAGGAGAACTATAGGGTCAGTGTTTTTCTCCATAGTTCCCCTAAGGGTCACAGGAGGACATAAACTAGCATCCTTCCATGACCCAAAGCTCAGTATACCGCGAGCTACAGCTCACTATATACTGAGACTGCCGCAGCAGACACGGATCCTGACATCACTGTCGAGATCCACCCAGCTGCATGATTGACAGCGTGCTCTGACTATCTAGAGGCAGAGCAAGCCGTACCCGCCCCCCCCCCGTCCGTTCCGCCAGTCAGTGCTGGAGGTGCGGGGAGGGGGAAAAACCCCGCAGGGAGCCGTGAGTGACAGTCACCTCTGCAGGGACAGGATCAAGAAGTGAGCGAGCGACAGTATGTGTTTACTCACCTCCTGATCTATAGAGCCGACCTGTGACAGTTTCATTGTCACAGGTCGGCTCGAACGATGAGGCTGTCGGCCCGGCCCCCCCCGGCCCCCCCCCCCCCCAGCTATACTTACTTTTCGGTGAACAGTCCTTACCCTCCGACTGTACAGTCCAGCCCTATGAATTTTGCTGGCAAATTGCAAGCACTCATTGGTCAGCTGACCAATGAGAAGCACTATTTAGCACAGTCAAATACAGTTTTGAATAGGGATGCACCAATACAGAATATTTGGGCAAGTACTTGTACTCGCCCAAATGCTCCGATACCTTCCCCAATACTGAAACTTCTGCTCAGCGGAGGAGCGGCAGTGCCGTAAGGGAACATGGAGCCAGCTTCCCGTGCAATCAGGAAGCGGGGCAACAACTTATTAACCACTCCGGTTTCCTGATTGGCTGGGAAGCCGGCTTCCTGGCCAATCACGATCAAGCCGGCCAAACATGGCGTCGGCTTCCCTGGCAATCAGGAAGCTGGGTAGCATGTAATTACCTGCTGCCCAGTTTCCTGATTGCATGGAGCAGGCTTCCGAGGCAAACAATCATTGCTCGTGCTCGATACCCAAAAACCTATATTGGTGCATCTCTAGTTTTGATTAAAACTATTTTTTTGTATTGGGACAAGTAGATTGTCATGAGGGACAATTAGATTGTCATGAGGGACAAGTAGATTGTCATGAGGGACAAGTAGATTGTCATGAGGGACAAGTAGATTGTCATGAGGGACAAGTAGATTGTCATGAGGGACAAGTAGATTCGGCCCCCGTATTGAAAAATACTGAAGCTTGTGAAACTGTAGCTTCCTGGCCTTCATGCCAGCAATTGGTCTCAGTTCTGATGCAGCATTGGTTCAGATAAATCTGCAAGGTATCCCCAGAGTAGCTGTCCTGACGTCAATGGCAGTCATATGTAAATTGGAAGCCAGATGCAGAACTGTCACAGAGAGATCCAATACAGTTGATTAACTTAGAAAACGCTTGCTGGCCAACTTGAAACTTCCATGATTTCCAATATCTGTCCTAAATCTAGCAGCTGCTGCTGATTGGGGGGGGGGGGGTTTGACCCCTTCCAATTTCAAGTAAGAGACATTCTTCCATCTGCTTAGTATCCTTAGGAGTTATAGCCTCTATGAAGCTGGCCTTCAGTTTTCTATGTGTGCAATTCTCCTGTACACATCGGTCTAACCTTAGATTGCTCATTACCAAGCTGTCCCCCTCGATGGACGATAAAGGAAATTTGTCATCCAACATCAAAAGACTGATAACATTTACCTGGCCAACTATAAGGAATACAGCGTCAATGAACTAATAGTCTGGAGACAAAGTCTGCTGTAGCTTTTGGGTACAGCAGAGTTGGTGTGCAGTGATCTTGTTGCAATGACTCACAGGGAGGGGGTCAGCTGATTTACAAATCAGACCCCATTCTCAGAGTTTCCTGTGGAGTAAACTTTCAATTTGTAGGACTCAGGCCTACTAAAAAGTAAGTGAAAATGATTAAGAAAGCCATCAATGCGAGTCATGAAAATGTACACAATCACTGCACCTCTACATTACCTCAATAAATGCTAATCAGTTACAAAGCCAGCTTTGTGGGCTTCTAGGCAATGACTTACCGAAGCTTGCTCTTGAGGGTGTTAACCTCCCGATTCATGGCTTCTGCTGTCTCTGTAGCATCCTCCAGTTCACGTTGCAGTTTGCGGCGCATTGCATTGGCACGTTGTGCTTCTTCTTCTGCCTCCTCGACCTGGCGCTTCAACTGTTTCATTCGAACATTGTTCTTTTCAGCCTGGTAGCAGGATAAGCATTTTTTAATACGGTTCAAGGATTAAACGGTTTACCACAGGATAGTTAGAATGTGTTGTTTCTTTACCTGATCTTTAAATTGCTCTGCGTTGCGCCTTTCATCCTCCACCTGCATGACAACATCCTTTAGTTTTTTCTCTGTACGGCGCACCTGTTTGCTTGCATTCTGTCTCTCCCTGTAATGGACACAAACATGGGATTCTTCACAATGAAACCGATCATATTCAACCTCATCTATTAAAGTGTCACACAGCAGCATGTGTTAGTTACAACTGGTAGATCACCCACGTGTGCATTGTACATACTTTGTCTCTGTATCCAGCTGTTCCTCCAGTTGTGCTATCTTTGCCTCCAATGCAGTAATTGAAGCTTTAAACTTGGATTTAACAGATCCTTCCAACTCCTGCAGCTTTGTTTTCAACTCCTTATTCTGGCGATCCATTTGCTGGCGAGCATTTTCATTTTTCTGAGCATTACTGCGCTCTGCATTCAGATCAGTGTTCAATTGATCAATCTTAAAGATCAATAGATAAAAATAAGTACTGCCTGGAAAATGTCATGTGCCAGGAATACAATATTAAAAACATCATCTCTAGGAGGTTTACTAATGTGAGGGAGTAACTAACTAGGGCATTTACATCCATATTCATAACATTTAATGTTACGGCGTTTATATACATTTCAACAGTACTATAAAAAAAAAAACAAAAAAAAAAACCTATAAATTGTCAGCAAGAAGGGAAATATGTACAAAAGCAAGCAACTACAACCTGAAGTGTTGCTTTCCTCAGTCTGTCATTCACAAGTTCTGTGTTGCCCTGTTCCTCCTCCAGCTCTTCTTCAAGTTGTGCAATGCGAGAGTCCAAACGTCTCTTTTCTTCTATAGCTAGGGCACTAGAATAGCAGACATGGATAAAACACAACACATGTCAAAACAATTAACAAAAGCAAGCTGCTTGCTTACATGCTAAACACCCAAAGGAACATGATTACATGCAATAAGTGTAACACATTACATTTTAGACCCTTTTAAATGTACTTGTGGTGTGCAAGATTGACCAGTAAATACCATTATTTTGTATGCAGAAAAGTGACGGGGGAGGGGGTTTGGTGTAAACAGGACAACAGACACTCCAGGGACAGTCCATGAGGTTGGAGCAGAGGTGAGTGCTGACCTCTGGGGGCACTGGGATCAGGCAACTACAAGTCAACTGCAAGACATAAATAAGTCTTGCAGTATAGGGATAGCCCCACTGTAAGGGTAGTTTTTTTTTTGTTTTTCATTTTCACACTCACAGGTTTTAATTTCCCATGTCTTAAAAAGAAAGAACAGTAAAATTTCACTTAGTTTGACAACTGATAATTTTAAGTAAATTATAATGAAGCACTTTTTACCATTTGTCCTGCTGGGACACAATTTATGAATGAAATTGAGGCCATTTTCAAATATATTACACATGTTCTTTACTGCTCATTGATGCAATTAGCTACTGTAACTACAGACAACTACAAGCATCCATTTTTGTGTACATTAGCACTGAGGGGAAAAAAACCCCCTTGTTTCTGCCGATCAGTACAGCATTAACTTGTGATAACAATTCTAGTATTTGGATTGTTGCTTCAAGGAGCTATATGTAAATACCCTGTGCTGGGCATTTGGGACTGCAGTTCATGTATTTTGTGTCTACAAACAAAAATCACCAGGCATGTGTACTTCAAAATGGCATTTGTTCTTATAGGTTCCTCCCCATGGCATTTAATGGCCCTGTTAAAGTGTATATACTTATGGCACAGATTATTTGCACTCCTACCCTTTGCCACTGCTGTTTGCAATCTCATCCGCAAGCTCATCTCTCTCCTGCTGGGCTTGGCGTTTGACACGCTCAGCAGCAGCAAGTTCCTACAAAACAAATGAAATGGGACGAGTTAGCGGTATCAGGAATGTATCCACTTTATCAAGGTAACATATTTGCTGGAAATCCAGGGCATAGCACATTATACCTCACATGCAAGTTTATATACAGGCAGTTTATCTTGGTGGTGGAAGTGGTTACTTTGTGTCACCATTGTTAAACATGTAAAACATTTTGGAATTTTCCACATAATCTACTTATCTATGAGATAAAGGGTATACTTTACGCAAGTTAAAATATGACAAATGAGAGCTAAAATTTGCAGTTGTGCAAAGTCACTAACCTAATTATGTAAAGATTTATAGAGATGCATTACCTCCTGCATATGGATCATCTCTGCTTCCAGACTCTTAAGTTTCTTCTCATTTTCTTTGGCCTGACCCAAAATGTCATCTCTGGATGCTCTTGTGTCCTCCAATTCTCTCTGGTAATCCTTCATCTGTGCCTGTGGTAAATATAGGGTTACAATTAACACTTTTTTTTTACAGAGTTGTAGTTATCCTCCTTGAAAATCCAGTTTACAGTTGGGGTGAGTTTCTTCTCTTGAAATGCTGTCTTTTCTTTGTGCTGCACATGTCTACTGCAGCCAAACATCTTTGATGCATCATTTCACAGCACCTTGTTCCAAAAGATCTGGTCTTTGCCTATATGATCAACAGCAACCATAGTCTTGCTTTAATGTTTTTAGACAAAGGCTTTTTCCTTGCGCATCTTCTAAGCAGAATAAACTCTGATTGTAGATGCATGCACTTTGACACCCATTAACTTGCAGGTCCCTTATTTAAATTTTGGTGTTCTTGGAGACTTCGAGGCAGTCAGCCAGCTCTTGGGCTGAATTTGCTGGGCCAGCCAGTCCTGGACAAACAAGTGGTTTTTGAAACCTACATCACTTGTAGATTTTCTTTATAGGGGAATGATTTCACAATTGGTGATCTTTTTAAATGCCTTGCAAGACTCCTAGGCACCCCTAACCTTTTTGAGTTTGAAAACTCTTTTTATCCTGGCATGACAACACCACACAATTCATTAACAAAGAGAACAGACCTTTGATATCTGAAGTTTAAATAAGTCAAGTTCCACCTCCATACTCCAAGAATGTTCTAATCATTGGCACCTAATCTGGAACACCTGAATCCAAACTTATGGAATTGTAGTGGTAATAAATGTGGGAGTACTTCATTTTTACACCGAGAACTAAAACCAAACCATCCAAGAATAATAAACACTTATTATATCCTGTACAGTAAACATACTGGGGGGATTTATCAAAACTGGAGCAGTTGCCCATGGCAACCAATCAGCATCTTTCTTCAGTTAGCTCAGGTAAGATATGAAAATGAGAGAGAGATGCTGATGGGCTGCAGTGCAAATCTGCTCCAGTTTTGATAACTCACTGTGTGTGAGATATGTAATGGAAAAATATTTTGTCACAAGATAAACTAGTAACTTCCTAATAAGATTATATTCCTTCCTGACTGGAGTTCAGATTTAAAAAATAAAAATGTAAAGATGAGTCGAGTATAAATTGCCAACAAAGTTTACAGACAAGCTAAGATTTCTGTACTTTCATAAATGCCCTTAATGCTTCTCAAATGCCTGAGTATTATTGTACCTGCAGTTTACGGAGCTGCTTGATTGCGTCTTCTCTATTTTTGTTTGCAGAGTCAATCTGTCCTTCCAGGTCTTTCAAATCCATCTCAAGCTTCTTTCGAGCCGCTACTGCCAATGAGCGTTGCTTCCTTTCATCTTCAAGTTCGACCTCCATTTCTTTCACCTGCAGTACAAAATAAAGTTAGAAGCCGTATGAATGTTTTAGGTTTAATATATTGCGGTGTCTACTGATTACCCCAAACAGACTTTACAGAAAAGTAGGCTTGAAGACTTAATAGAAGTATATTTCTAGAAAATCCCAAATGTGTAGAAAGTGTTAATTATATATTGTACATTTATACATTTCATCAGAAACTGAACAACAAATTCAACTAACATGTGAAAGAACCTGTGAAAGAACCCACCTGTCTAACTAGTTGTTTCTTTTTGTCTTCACTCATTTCATCTCGCCCTTGCAAATCCCTCTCAAACTGAGCCTTCATTGCTTGCAAGTTAACTTCCAGGCGAAGCTTAGCATCTTCTGTTGCCTGTAACTCATCTTCAAGTTCTTCCAACTGAGTCTTCATCTCTTCTACTTGCTGTTCTAAGGCCCTCTTGGACTTTTCTAGTTCATGTACCTAGGGAAAATTGATAGTAAAGTAAATTAAAAAAAACAACAAAAAAAATTGTATTTTATACATAAATGCACAAACAAGACAGTGCACACCTCAAGCTTTGTGACCTTTGGTATATAAAACAAGTATGAAATGCAATCAATTTTGATTCACTCAAAAATTAGTTACATTTGTGAGAAAACCTATTTCAAAATTCATGATCTTGGGTTATACATTTTAAAGACCAACTTACGCTTTTCCCAACATCATCCTTGGAGCTGACCAAATCCTCCATCTCTGTACGCAGCTGTTTGTTAACTCTTTCCAATTCAGTTTTAAGCTCCAGAGCCTCCTCCAAGGCGCGAGCCAAGGACAGGGCTTTGGTCTCTTTCTCACGAGCCTCTGCTTCTGCACGGTCACGTTCTTCTGCATATTTCAAAGAAACAGTCTTCTCCTCACCAAGCAACTGTTACAAATTAAAGCATAAAGTAAATCATTTGGTTTCATTAGTGAAGTACACAGATTATGTGGAAAAATTTTCTATTGTCACTTCTTTATAAATTCAAAACCAAATTGTTACAATAATTGAAGGTATCTTATTACTCTAAAGCTCATCCGAAACAGTCACCTAGTTTTGAATGTGGGTCAACGTGAGGGCACACTTTGGGACAACCACTCTACAGCTGGTAGCTTGTTTTAACCCATTGACTGCTATTACCTATATCATACATCTGGCAGTCAAAGGATTATCACTGAAAGGTTCGACTGCAGTTGATTTTTCTTTACTATAGATAATACAGCAGAGATGCATAGGTTTTATAAATTCTACATATTTTCATTGTTTGAAGAATAGTGTCTATTTTAGGGAGGAAACCATTCTGAAGGATATAGCAGTTGTGTAATGCACTGACAGCAAACATTAGTTCTTCCGCACTGTGCCAAGTTCCAGTTTAACTTTTGATTAATATTTAATTCTACCTGATCAAACTTCTTTTGCTTCTTCTCCAGGTTGGACACAATCTGGCGCTGGTGATCGAGATCCACAGCAAGATCATCCAGCTCCTGCTGAAGTCTAGTCTTTGTCTTCTCGAGCTTGTCATAAGCAGCTGCCTTCTCCTCAAAGTGTTGATTAGTAGCTTCAAGATCTTTCTGCAGTTTCTTCTTCAACTCTTCAACAGACTCTAAGGAGCCAACGCTGTCTTCCATTCGCTTTTTCATCTCCACTATCTAAATAGAAAGACAAGGACAGTTTTATATTGCAACAGTACATGCTCTGCCCCTGTAATGAATCACCCTGAATGAATCAACCAGGCAGGTTGTTTCTCAGTTTTCTTTCACAATATACAATCAGTATACAAATGGAAGACAGCTCTAGAAGCGTTAATATGATGCCCCTTTTATTACATTGCCATCATGTTATGTTTACATTTACAGTTTCAGAGTAGAACTTTCCATGCATGCAGCATATCCCTTGCAGCAATGTTTGCAGGCAAAATAGAACAAATCCCTACTGCATTATAAATTCTTAGAACACACCTGAGATTGCAGTGTTAAAACTTGCTTTGACAGGTTTTTCTTTGCTTCCTCCTCCTCTTCTAATTGCTCCAGGAAGCCATTTTTCTCATCTTCCATTTGCTTGAGTTTTGCGCTAAAGCTCAGTTTCTGACGTGTCTCTTCTTGTAAGAGTTCCTAGATCAAATAAAAAGATTACAGATAACATTTGAGGACTCAGACAAAATATTTGGCTGTTTCTGGAAAACCCAACAGGCTCTAAAAATTATTTTAATTTTACAGTCATGTACTTGCTAACAAAATAGAAAGAAGACTATTTATGGCAGGTGCCAAACTCAAAATTAACCCTTTCGCTGCCAAGCCCTCTAGAACATTTTTCAAATCAGCTGGCCAAGCCATTTTTGAATTTTCTGCAATTTTTTCCTATTGATTTGATTTTCAACTGCTGCGTTGCTAGCGTTTGTAAAAGACCCCCCAAACCATATATTTTCTGAAAGTGCAGGTCTGGTAGAATAAAAAGATTGTGATACTAAATTTGTAGGCCCTGCGATAATTGCGCAAATGTTTCTCAAATTATTAAACCGATAAAAATACACAATTGTTAAAACACACCAAAATCAGTATCCGCGCACAAAAAAATTATTTTCTGACTAAATCTAAAAGATAAAACTGTATTGAGTTAATAAAATATTAGCAAATTTGTAATTGAATTTGTAATTGCGCCTTTTTGCGAAAAGGTAAAAAAATGAAGGTATGCAAAACTGTAAATAATTGACTTATGTAAAAAATTGTTTTGGTGTTTGTGTTGTGATAAAATGATACAGGTGTATATTTAATTGCAACACAAGGTATCACAACACATGGCAATGCGTCACAAAGCTTTGCCGTGCGCTGCCAGTTAATTTAATGGTTTTTTTAAAAGAAAAATAAATAAAATCGATCATGCACTGTGATGCGTTCTAACAACGCACTGCAGCACATGGTGTGCACCACAATATGTGTGCGTTATGTGGGGGAGGGAGGGGTTGTGCTTTTTTTTAATAAGTTTTTTTTTTTTACAAATTTTTTAAAAATTTTATTTTGTTTTACATTTTTTAAACATTTGTTATTTATTTTTTTAATAATTTTGTATTTTTTTTTTTTTAACTGTTGGGGGGGCTA